TTATTTTTTTTTTTTTTTTTTTTTTTATAGAACAACGTAGATATTTGTCATGAATGTGGTCACCTGAAACAGAAACATGTCCTTTGTGGCTATTGCTATGAAAACGTGCACAAGGAGACTGCAGAAATCAGAAGACAGATTGGGAAACAAGAAGGGGGCCCTTTTAAGGCTCCTACCGTAGAGACCAGGGTGCTGTACATGGGAGAGACACCATCTGAACAAGATCAGGGCAAGAGGATTATTGAACGAGACAGGAAGCGACCATCCTGGTTCACCCAGAATTGACACCAGAGATGTTTAAAGAGGGTAACTTAACATAAAACACTTCTGGAAAAGAGGAAGATTTTTTTGTTTTTAATATTTTGTGTCTGTTTTAAAATCAATATAGCTTAAAACATTCTTCATAATAATGTGTAGATAATTTGAAATCTATATCAGGAATAAAGTCTGGAAATGTTTGTTTATTCAGGGGCTCAGTGGATTTATATGTCTATTTTTATTATAAGGTTTTAAGTAAACATTAAATTTTTAGGACAAAACAAAGTAATTTAAAAGTCATACCAAGAGTTATGTGTTCGGGTTCTGTTTTTCTTTGTTTGCCAGTGTTTTTTCTTACACAAGAATACTTACACAAATACTTTTGTTTAAGTAACACCTGGAAATAGGTTATTATTTTAATTCTGAATATTGTTTTTTAAGATGATAATTCCTACAGTAAGGAAAGATTTGTTCTGTTTGGCATTTGTTTTGTTTTATTTTGTTTTTGAAAACTAAAATTGCCTTTGGTGGAATTTATATGGGATGTATTATGTTAATTTACTTAGACAAAAAAGGTTCTTGACATTTGACATGAAATCAAAATGACATTTAGAATTCATTAAATAGCTCATGAGATTTGTAATTTATTGTTTTGGGAGAAAGACTTTTAAAATGAGATGTGAACGAATTCAGTACTACACCAAAAATAGGCTAAGGATGTTGCCTTTGTATTTTCCTTTTAGTATGTCCTTTAATTTATTTTACCTTTTATCATTTTTATCTCTTTGTAGCAATGGCCTTTTTAACTTAAAGCAAATCATTTACTATTTCTCCCTCCCCTCTGTCTACCCTGAGCCCAAGATTTGCTAATTTTTCCCTGCCTCATTCAAAAATAAATAAAGTAAGATAGCTTATTAAAACCTAGAGATAAGTAAGTAAAGGATTATGGTTAAACGGAAAATCAGTACACATAATAAAACCCAGGGATATATTTGAAACAGAAAGCATACCACAGTAGCCTGAATATGTATTAGAATTAGGCAGCAAATTCAACACTGAACTTCCTTTTCTTTGGAAAGAACTTACATGGCTAAGTCTCTGCAAGTTAAGACAACCCGGAAATACACCACTATCTTAGTACTAAGGCCTGATGGACATTTCTGCCAGAGGACTTTATAATGAGGAGTCTGTGAATGGGTAGTCCATCTTATTCCTATAAATAAAATGACCGGTTTCATGAGGTACAGTAAGACCAATAATATGTTAAAATGTTAATATGTTAAGATAATATGTAAAAATTTTATCATTTCATGCCTCCTGTCATGTTTGTTTATGGTCAGAAAAAAAAGCATAAGGGGTTGGAATTAAGTCATTTATGCATCTGATTTGTACACATTCTGAAATTAGAAATGAACTCCATCCTTTCTTAACTCCTACAACATCAAGATGTTGAGACATTCACTAGGCACCTTTGTTGGGAGGGATTCCTGTCTTTCCTTTAACCAGTTCCTAGCAGATCACCAGGTTCTGAAAATCTGAAGTGTTTGACTTTATTCCATTTCCCAACCAGTGCCCTCATCCTCACCCTGATTATTTATTTCCTGAGCTATTACAGTGTACTTTTCAATTATTTTCCAGTCTTATTTCTAATTAGTTTTCTTTAGTAGTTTTTGTATTACAAATGTAACACATTGTAGTTACTGAAGCAATACAAAGTGTGTCAGCAAAAAGTTAAGAATCATTTCTTTACCATCACACCTACCACACCCCCATGGTGTATGTGCTTCTAAATGTTGCACTATCCCACCATTATTTCTTTTTAAAAATATATATAGATTTCAGAGAGAGAGAGGGAGATAGAAACATCAATGATGAGAGAGTCATTGATCAGCTGCTTTCTGCATGTCCCACACCAGGGATCGAGCCCACAACTGGGGCATGTGCCCCAACCGGGAATCAAACCATGATCTCCTGGATCATAGGTTGACATTCAACTGCCGAGCCATGCCAGGCTGGGCCCCACCATTATTTCTGATCCTACCACTCCCCTGATCAAAACCAGGCTCCTAATTAAGCCCTTTTTTGTGTCCTCATAATCTGTTCAAGTCTTTATGCCCACCTACCACAGTTACCACAGTGTAGTAAGTACACAGCTTACCCCTCAGGCTGTTGAAATTATAACCTAATGTAGCAGAGATTATTGAACACATCAGCATGCACCACTCCTATCCCACTGTTTTCACTTGGCTTCACTCTGTTTTTCTCACTGAGTATCCCTCTCAGACTCCCATACTGAGAGGGAGTTTCTTCCCACCTCTAAGCTTTTGAGAGTCCAAGTCTTCATCCCTGGTGATCTTTTCCAGGCTATGGTTGTACAGAGCAACTATGTGTTCAGGCCTTCCAGTTTGGTATTTTTGACGTGGGCCTCTCCTCTGAACTCCAGAGTCATACTCAACTGCCTACTTGGCAACTCCAGTCAAATGTTTAAGAGATAATTCATTAAACTCAGTATCTCCAACTTAGAATCCCTTCTCTCACAGTCCGATTTCCCCACTCCCCAGTCTTCTCCATTTCAATTGATGGCAATTCCATTCTCATCGCTCAGTCCTAAAACCTACCTTGAAAAACTTCACAAATTCCATTGGTTCAATGATTAAAATTTACTTAGGATATGACCACTCATCACCACTTGCACAGCTACAACCCCAGTCAGAGTCCCCATAATCTTGTCTTGAATGCCAAAATACTCCACTAACTGGTCTGCTGCTGGCTTAATCTCCTACAGCCTAGTCCCAGGACACTAGCCAGAATTCTTTTAAGGCAGGTTGTCACGTCTCTCTCCAAATTCCTTTATTCAAAACTCTTAAGATTAAACATGCAGATACATACATGAGGATATTTGCTTTAAACAGTATATATTCCTTGTGCCCAAGTTTTGGTAAATCAAAAGTATTTTAGGTATACTATGGATGATCCCCATTTAAAGAAACTGATAAAATCTCAAAATGTTAATAATTCATAATTTGTGTGGTATGGCTTATAAATTCAAGATTTCTTCTTTAAAGAAATACAAAGAGTAGGGGCTTTTCAAACATTTCTGGTATGGGGATCAATTTTAACTCTCACCTCAGAAAACTAGTTCCAATCCAGGACCACCCTCCCACATGCAGTTTTTATGTTTCAGGACCAGGGTTAGTCCCTTAATATTTATAAATCTGTACTAAGGAACTCTGTTTATGATTAGTGTTTCTTTACACAAAAATAGATGTTCTGTCACCCAGCCCCATCAGAGGAAACAAGCTGTGGAGTGTGGAAAGCTTCAAACCCAGGACTTAAGGCCAGTCACAGTGCATGACATTGGCCTGCACCAGAGACCATCCAAAAGATTGGGAGTACTAGCAGATCTGCCTAATACATAGAAACAAATCCAAACAGGCAGTCAAAATGGGGAGACAAAAAATAAGCCCCAAATGAAACAACAAAAGAATTCTCCAGAAGAAGAGCTAAATAAAATGGAGATAAGCAATCTATCAGATACAGAGATCAGAATAATCATAAGGATGCTCAACAACATGAGAAAAGAAATGGAAACTATGAAGGAAATTAAGAATTACATAGTAGAAATAAAAAGTACATTGGAAGGGATAAACAGCAGATTAGGGGAAGCTGAGGATCGGATCAGCAAATTAGAAGGCAAGGTAGAAAAAATCAATCAGAGAACCAAAAAGAAAAAACAAAAAACAGGAGGACAGTTTAAGGGAGCTGTAGGACAACACAAAACAATAATATGTGCATCATAGGAGTGCCAGAAGATGTAGAAAGTAAGCAAGCATTAGAGAACATGTATGAAGAAATAATGGCAGGAAACTTCCCCAACCTGGTCAAGAAAAAAGTCACACAAGTTCAGGAGGCATAGAGAGTCCCAAGCAAGAAGAACCCAAAGAGGCCTGCGCCAATCATAATTAAAATGACAAAAATTCAAGACAGAATCTTAAAGGATCCAGCAAGGCTATCATTCAAAATAGATGCTGAAATAAAGAGCTTTTCAGACAAAAGAAAAAAAAAAAAAAAGGCTAAAGGAGTTTATCACCACCAAACCAGCATTGCAAGAAATGTTAAAGGGACTGCTGTAATAAGTTGAAATAGAATGAGAAACAGGCATAAAGAAATAAAATGCCAATAATAACCTTAAATATAAATGGATTAAAGGCTCCAATCAAAAGACAGAGGGTAGCTGAATGGATAAGAAAACAAGACCCAAATATATGCTGTCTACAAGAGACCCACCTCAGAACAAAAGACTCACACAGGTTGAAAATCAAAACAAAACAAAACTTCTGGAGGACTTTAAAGGAGAGAGCGGCAGCAACACAGTCATACTAGGGGACTTTAACAGCCCACTGACTTTACTGGATAGATCTTCCAGACAAAAAATCAACAAGGAAACAGTGACTCTAAATAACACACTAGATCAGATGGAATATGCATTCTCCTCAAGTGCACATGGGACATTCTCAAAGATAGACCACATGTCAGGACACAGAACAAGTCTCTACAAATTTAAGAGGAATAAAATCATATTAAGCACCTTCTCAGACATTTACACCATGGAATACTATGCAGCTGTAAAAAAAAGAATCCCTTACCCTATGAGACAGCATGGTCGGACCTGGAAAGTATTATGCTAAGGAAAATAAGTCAGTCAGAAAAAGACAAGTATCACATGATCTTACTCATATGTGGAATCTAATGAACAAAATAAACTGATGAACGAAATAGATCCAGAGACATAGACGCATGGAACAGACTGAGGAATCTCAGGGAAGGCAGGAGTGGGTGGAGAGAGATTAATCAAAGTGCTTATATGCACATATGCAAAACCTATGGGCACAGATGACAATAGTGTGGTGAAGGCCTGGGTGGATGGGGATAGGGTGGAGGGGATCAATGGGGGCAAAAAGGGGACATTTGTAATACTTTCAACAATAAAGGTAAGTTATAATCAAAACAAAACAAAAAACAGATGCTCTGTCTTTACTGGCAACTCATGAGGAGCAGTGTCATTCCACAGCCTATATTGGTGCATAACATTTAAAAAAGAAATTATATATATATTGATTTCAGAGAGAAGAAGGGAGAGGGAGAGAGAAAGATAGAAACATCATTGTTGAGAGAGCCATCATTGATCAGCTGTCTCCTGCATGCCCCTGACTGGGAATCGAGCCTGCAACCCAGGCATGTGCCCTGACCAGGAATCAAACCAAGATCTCCTGGATCCTAGGTCAATGCTCAACTGCTGAGCCATGCCTGGCCGGGCAACATTTTTTAAAATTTATTTTTTTGTTACAGATATTTTATTCCCCTTACCCTTTGCCTGCCCTGACCCAGCCCCTGGCCCCCCTTCCCTCTGGCCATCACCACACTGTTGTCTGAATCTATGGGTTCTGAACATGTGCTCTTTGGCTAATCCTTTCACCTTTTTTCAGGCAGGCCCCCTCTGCCCATTCCACTCTGACAGCTGTCAGCTCTTCTCTGTATCCATGCCTCTGTTTCTATTTTGTCAGTTTATTTTGTTCATTTGATTACACATATAAGTGAGATCATATGGTATTTGTCTTTCTCTGAATGGCTTATTACACTTAATAATCTCACATTTTAGTTCATGCCTCTGGCAGAAATCCAGCTGCAGACTTCACTCATTTGTACAGCAGAGGGCAAGGGAGAACAAATTCCTGGTGCTCAAGGGGTTGTCTCAGCCTACTAGTCACACGGCTATCTTTACCTCATTAGGAACACTTCCTGAAATCATTACCACACCTCTGCTCCTCTCCTATCCAATGACCTCCTTTGCCTTCCCCTTCTCCAAGTTTGTCAAATCTCCCATGAGTAGAGCGAGGGCAGGAGCAAAGCTAGAACGCCAACATGTTCTGGTCTCCTGAACCTTGTCATTCAATCTCAGAACCAGTTTGACAGTTCTAGCCTTGAAACCAAGCCTGGGAAGAGTCACTTTTCACCAAGCATCCCTAGCGACCTCACTAGGGGGAAGAAAGTAAACTGCCCTGACTCTTCTCCAAGGAAATAATAATCCATCAGCCATGCTGGGAACCTTTTGTCTGTTTATACCAAAGCCACCTGCCTGTGAAGAGCAGATAGCATTACCACAAGGGAGAAAGGGCAGTCTGCAAATATGGCAGGCAGACAAACTTGCAGAGCAAGGACAGTGGCCAGGTACAGAAGGTCAACCAGGGCAGAAGGGCCCAGGTGCCTAGCAATGGGCAAAACTGGGAAAACAAGGACCTCTCCAGG